CTTTATCAAGCCGCTCATTTATGCTCCATTAAATCGTCTCATCGTTGACGTCGCGTCTATCATCGCTGTTATCTCTCTATTCTCTCTTTCTCACCTATGATTTCTAACGTAAGCAACAAATGCAGAAGTCGGTTGCAATTTGCAATTGTAATAACGCGAAGAAAGATTTTCGATTGAAATTCTTAATTAGGTCAATTTTTAGTTTAGAATTTAATCTCCGACTCGAATAATTCTCGAAATCGGTCGAGCGATCCGAAAATTCGAATTGAATTAAACCCTCCCGCATTACTTTATTTTTCAGGAAGTTAATTTTCTGTTATTAGAAATAATGATACGTAATTTAGTCGATCGCTAATGTGTTGTTCTAAATGATACGGTGATTGCAGCCGATTTATGTAAAGGGTGAGCGAGCGATTATGGTTGACATGATTGCGAATTAGGATCATATATTAATGACATAATCGCGAGCTGCCTCTGGATCTTCTCGTTTATTATTTTTTTCACTCGTCCTTATTATTTTTTTTTACTATTTTTAATATTATTATTATTATTATTATTATTATTATTATTATTATTATTATATTTTTATATTATTATTATTTTTTATATTAATTATTATATTATTACTTGTTTCACTTTGACAAATATGTTATAATTTGTTCGTTACGCGGCACGTTTTGTCGAGGAGCGCGATTTTCTAGATATTTTTTTTATAGTGACATCCCAATTATCGACAAAATTCTGATATAAATATAGACGCGGGCAGTTACAATATTTCGGTAGTAATTTATCTCACGTATGTGGAGGCAATGATTTCAAGGACAATATGTTTGCTTTCGCGCAAGAATCGTCGCTTTCGGACCGACTGGACGTGCCCGCGTAATTTTGTTGCTTTTTTGTCTGTGACTTTGTTCCGCAGTTAATTCTCGCACCCACTCCACTGAGAAAAACGATTCTTTCGTTTCCGTTAATGTGTGGCACCTTGATGACCCTGTCGTAGACCGAGGAGATCGGAGCAAACACTCTGACGATGTTAGACCACCAAGGCGGTAAGCAGTTTCCCAGTAAAACAACAATAATAAGTCACTGTCTCTTTCTCTCTCTCTTTATATATCTATCTCTCTTTTGCGAACGAACGAGCGAGCGATGCGACAATTAAGTTCGATGAGTATATAATGTATAGGTACGTTTAGAGAGCCTTTAAGAGAGAGAGAGGCGACGACTGGTCACGTGATCGCCTACTTCTGATTGGTTGGCATCATATGTGATTTTTAGACATTGCGACGCCAATGCAGACCTAACCTAACACCGACAGATGTCAAATATGTGATGTATGTTCTGCATTGGCGTCGCAATGTCTAAAAATCACATATGATGTCAGCCAATCAGGAGTAAGTGGTCACGTGACTCCAGTTGACGCCTCTCTTCTAGAGGCTCTCTAGGTACGTTAATATATATAACGCAAGGAGGAAGGAAAAAACGTGAGATGTGAGAGGAAAAGGGCTGACAGGAAAGGAAAAAGACGCGAATTGCGAAGGACGAAGCGATGACACGTGCGTGCCCTTCGTTAAGCCATATGTCAATTTGCGTTTCCCGTCGTGAGAGGGCGCGCTTCCGATGCGTGATTACCAGAGTGTCGACAAAGTCGGCACGAAGCGAAAAATCGACTTTGAACGCTCGACCGAAATCATTTTTGCGCAGAGAACGTTCGTTCTTGAATTATAAAAAAAAGGATATTAGCAATATCTGATTCAATATATAGAAAAACAGTTTATTTGATGTATTATCGTAGTATTTAATGTTTATTGCGCACTGAAAAAAAAATTTATTGAATTCGAATTTTTGCAGAGAACATTTATTCTTAAATTTAAAAAAAAAGGATATTAGTAATATTTTATTCAATATATAGAGAAACAGTTAATCTGATGTATTATCGCGTAATATTTAATGTTTATTGTGCATTGAACAAAATATTTATTGAATTCGAATAAGTATTCATTTCAATGCTGCCAAATAAATCATTTATTTGGAACTATATTGATTTGATGTGAAAATATTTATTTTGATATAAGAAAATCCTTTTCAAAACAATTGAATATTTGTTTCAATAATTGATTTATTAGGCAGTATTGAAATAAATATTTATTAAGTTAGTCATTCTTTTTCAGTGTATAGGTATATAAATCTTGAATTTTCTAATTCATAATTTAATTATTTTGGCTGCTAAATGATAAAGAGATTTGCATAATTTTATAGAAAATTCAATTTTTTTTCTATCTGTATTGCCCGAAGATGAGTGGGAATTTTATGACATACTTATAGCATTTTTTTCTACTTAAATATTGTACACGGAGAGAATTTTCTTTTAGAATTTACTCTGCATATCATGATAATCGTGAGACAATATGGCATTGAAAGAATTTTATAAAAGTATCTTTGATTAAATATTTACCACAATAAAAAATATTAATATGTACATGATAAAATTAATCGAACATATTATATTGTAGATATTAATATTTTTCATTGTGGTGTAAATATTTATCAGAGAAATTCTAATAAAATTTTCCCAATACCATATTGTCCGCGATTACCATGATTTTCAGGATAAACTCTAAGAGAAAATTCTCTCTGTGTATATATATTTTATGTTTCGAGTACATTAATTGCAAGAGGAGGAAAATTTATATAAAGTTCCAATTTATTTATTAACACACAGATATAATATATAATATAATATTTTCTCGTAGAGAAATTTCTGCTAAAATCTTGTGCGTAAAAAATATTATCTGCATTTTCAATGACACATTTGACAATGCGATCAGTGTCGATCGTTCGAGTCGATTTTTCGACTCTTCTTTGCGGATCCAGTGATCCCGTTCGCTTTTTTGGTGGCTGTCATCGAACAAATGACAGGAAATCCCGCGATGACGAGAACGATCCTCTCGCATCGCTAAAGCGGATGACTCGGTTGACTCGAATGACTCGTGACGACGTTTCGTCATCGACGTCGCTTGAACGACGACATTATATCGCTCTCACAGGCGATCCTGTCGTCTTTATTAGGACGAAACTCCACTTCGTTACCCCTGATCTTGTGCTCCCAGATCCTTGACACACCGATCTCCGATATATATCTGTATCTTTCAACGGCATGACATGTTCTATCGATGTCTACTGCGTGTATATAGTATACGGGATACTCCTTTCGAAAAAGGATATCTCGTTTTTTTTATCCTTTTATAACCTTTTTCACTATATTTGATTGTCTGTCTCTCTATCTTTTTTTGCCTTCGCCACTTCCTTTCTAGCTTTGCTCTGCTCTGGTGTTCATTTACTTCTTCGGGGTACGTCACACATCGATCTGTGTGTCAACGTAATTGTTCGCATTCAGAAATGTGAGTTTTTTTTATTTTTCTCGACTCACTTGGGAATTATATCGAAATTAATATTATTTATTTTCAAAACAGATATGTAAATTTTAAATTTATTTCAATTTGAATGAATAATTATTTAAATGAAATATTTTAGGAGATACTTATTCATTTTTTAATATAATTTAAAAATATATAAAAATAATGATTTATTGGTTTTTTATTAAAAATTATTAAAAATATTCTACTTGATGCTTTGCATAATTTTCTTGCATATAAAAGACTTGCTTTATTGCATTTACACAAATATCTGAATGCGAAAGATTATCAGCATCGAATTCATGAAATCATAATCCTTGTTACGAAAAAGCATCTTTATCTCAATAATTTTATTCCAACATTTTTCATTTCAATGTTTAATATAGCATCACTTTCACCTATCATTTATAACCGAGTTTTCCATCCGCAGCCCTCTGAAATTCGCGAAAGAATAATTACATGTATCGATTACATGCTTTTTACTAATTCTCAATATATATTTCCCATCAATGCGCCAGTCATCGAGGGCTGTCAAGAGCCACGTGTCGTCATTTACTCACCTTTCTTTGATCTTTATAAATAGAGTTAAGTAATTCTCGCATCCTCTCGTTCATCCAACGCCTTAAGAAATTCATTGGAAAAGAGCAGAAGAGGATGTAAACCCTCTCATCGGTCCTACAATTCCTCTCCCACGCAATCGTCATTGTTGCTCAAACCCGATGTTATCACTTGTCGACGTCACGTCGTTATATCTCCATCCACCCATCCATCCATTTCCTGATTACGCATAATAGATTAATTAGTAGAGGGTGAAATTCGTCGTTCGCGCCCTCTCGCTGCTCCGACATTCTCTCATCATCATCCCTCTCTCTCTCTCTCTCTTTTCTATCATTACACAGGGTGTACCTAAATAAGTGCGTACAATTTTAGATGATTGTCGAAAATTAAGGGCGGTTCCTCATATCCCTTCCTGACAAGTTACACTTTTTTAAAGAGGGAAGTAAAAATTAAGTTTTTATTTTAAATTATTTTAAATTAAATATTTCTATTTGTTTTTTCAAATTTTAGAGAAATTAAAAAATGAACATTGGTGAATGTTTTTCACTAATAAAAGGATATTTATGAATATTTTTTTATCTTCCTGTATCGTTATAAGGGGATGAAACTAACAACCCCTATTGAATTTTTTATCAAAACTTTTTAACGGGCCGGAATAAGATCATCTAAAATATGCGTTAGAGGGTTTGATTCCTTTAGAAACTTTTTTATGTCTTTTATTTTTTTCATCAAATCAATAGTTTTTTAAGAAAAAATTCCTCAGGGGGATAATATAAGAAATATAAAAAAATATTTCAGATATTATGTAAAATAATATTATATAAATATATATAAATATATTATATAAATATATTTATAAAAATATATTATATATATTATATTATATATTATATATATAATTATATAATATATTATATAATATAATGATATATTATATAATATATTATATAATCTATTCTATAATATAACTATATTCTCTTCTCTATTATATCTTATATTCTATATATCTATCTATATAAATGAGATATATAAACCTCCCTTGATTTTCGATAAAGAATCATCCCAAAACTTTTCGCGCTTCTTTAGATACCCTGTATATCTTTCATATATATGTTTCTCTCCTGACTTCATTTCTCTCCGCGTCGGCATCGGGGAGGGAATCATCGGTAAAAATCATGGGGGGCCTCGCATCCCCTTCTTTCCGGGGAGGGAATCATCGCGGAGCGAGGCGAGGGAGCGTCCCGACGGCGATGTAACCTTTCCTCAAATGTTTTAACACGCCGCTGATTGCCTGTCGGTTGCCTGTTTAGAGCCACGAGGTCGGGATGAAAAGCCTCGTAATGCTGGACGAGCAAGGCGGTAAGCCACTTCCACTGTAGCCTCTAACATACAAACAATAATAGACAGATCCCGAAGTCGCGAAGAAGAAAGAGAAAATATATATATATACTCGAAAAAAAAAAATATATATATATACAAATGTCAAAGCGAGATCGATTTCACTCTTCGCAATCGACGATTATCGAAATGTCATGTTTTACAGAGTATACATATACACACATAAAAATATGTATATATGCGTATGATATCCCCGTAGGATAAGAATAGTACTCGTCCACATCCGGTAATTTTTTGTCGCTATAAATATTTGCGATCCCTTGTCTCTATAAATATAAAAAAATATTTCAGATATTATGTAAAGTAATATTATATAAATATATATAAATATATTATATAATATATATATTATATAAATATATTATATATATATATATATATTATTATATTATATATATATTATATATATATTATATATATATCTATATATCTATATATATATTATATATCTCTCTATATATCTATAATATCTCTTATATTATCTCTCTTATCTCTCTTATCTATCTATCCTCTATTCTTCTCTCTCTCTATTATCTCCTCTATTATATCTCTCTTCTCTATATATCTCTATCTATCTCTCTATCTATGTATATATGAATGAGATATATAAAAATATACACACACGGGCGTTTAATGTTAAAAAGAGATGAAACCCCGGTTGCGTTTATATCCACATATATATTTTGGAATATATATTTCACTTTTTATGTCGACAATCACGGGCCGGAAAGATGGAGATGACAGTTCGTGCGCGCTCGAATACTTTTCTTATCCTCGTTGAAAAATACGCGGCGATAACTCGCGCGAATGAGTGATAACGCGACGCTCGGCCGGAAAGATAGACGGAAGTGTCGTTTTTCCGTGCGTTTTTCCCGGTTTCCTCGAATCTGTATCGTATATATATATAAGTAAAACCATTTCGCTTCGAAATATTGCCGCGTATTTCGCACACGTCTCCTGTCTTAGATTGTCCCTGTGAAAAGGGGAAAGAGGGATCGGTAGCAAGACCCTTCGAAGTCGATTTTTCATTCACTCTTCGCTTCGATTCATCGAGAAGCGATGATTTCGTCATCCGTCATATTCTCTTATCCGCTTCAATTTTTCTTTTTTAACTTTTCCTTCCGCATTCTTGCTAATATGATCAATTAATTACACAGAGAGAATTTATTCTTAGAATTTATCCTAAAAAATATTAATATACGTCTACCACAATAAAATATAAAATATATTCGATTATTAATTTTACTATGACATTGGAAGAATTTTATAAGAGTTTCTCTGGTTAATATTTAGCACAATAAAAAATATTAATATGTACATAGTAAATTTTACTGCATGTACGTTAATATTTTTTATTGCGGTAAAATTATATAATAAATTTTACTATGTACATATTAATATTTTTGATTGTGGTAAATATCAGAAAAACTCTTATAAAATTCTTTCAATATCATAATGTTCCACAATTATCATGATTTTCAGAGAGCAAATTCTATTGTATATAAGAGAAAATTCTCTCCGAGTAGTTTCTCTCTTGAGATCCTCGTCTTTTCTCTTACGATTACGCCTTGCGAATGCAAAGATTAATTAATAAAAAAATCGACGAATAAAAGGATCGGACGGAATGAAAGATAAAGAGTCACTGAAAGTGACGATTTTTCGACGACCAAAGAAAAAACAGGGCCTCGCTGTATCCGCGTTTTCCCCTTTTTCGGGAGATAATCGCGTGCATCATCGAGACACTGCTGCTTATTTAATTAGGGGCATAGCTGGAATAGATTTTGGAAGGACAAAAAAAAATGTTAATCTCTGCAAATGTGAAAAAATCTCGGAGAGAAAATTCAGAAAAAAACATAGCTTCTCTTTCTGCTATTTTATCGCTACGCCCCTTTGATTGAGAGATATATTATGTATACTATATTGAATACGTATGTGCGTGTATATGTGTACGAATACACATATATATGCACATGCATTTTTACAACACTCGGCCATCGTTATACCGTTCACTTACATTTCGCTCTCAGCGCTCAAGCATCGTGATATCTTTTTTTCCGACCAACTCTGACTTTCTCGCGCGCTTTTTTGGTTCTCTTCCATGGTTCTCTTTCTTGCCGCTATCTTCTTCAGCTTCTTTCGGACTTCGCTACTCGCTGTTATATCTGCATATTACTAACTTTCTCTTTCACACTGCGTAACTGATACTATTGTTACGATACTTATTTTTCATCCCCCGTACTTCTTTCTTTCTCTAGTCTTGATCCTCTCTTCCGGTTTCCTCTCAATCGTTCTCATCCCTTGCTCCATCTTCGAGATTTTTTACTCGAACTTCCCTCAGGCTTCGTTCGCATCTCACGATTTTTCGCAATTTTTTATTCTCAGTTAGGCAGTGTTTTTGTTTTCGATATCTTCGAATAAGACAGATCTATGATCAGAGTTTGGAAAAAGAAAAAATTAAATTCGTGCAAAAGATGCAGTTGAAAAATATAAAATCAGAAATATTTTTAAAAAAATTTCAGTATCTATGAAAGTAAATTATTGCTTAATTGTTTTCTAGACTCCGGATGCTGTTAAAAAATAATAATCATTGTTACATTAAACTCATTTTTGTATTAAATAGATCAATCAATTAGATATAAAAGAGAAAATTAAATAGCCGAGAGAATAACTGAGATCGGATAATTGACATAATTTTTTAGCCGATATTGGGTAATAAAATTTAAAAAAAGAATCAACTCTGTCTCGGTAGAGTAAAATTTCGACGTCAGATTTTTTCGCGAAAAATCGTGCGTTGCGAATCTTTACAGAAAAACAGAGGAAAACAGGACAAAAGCGGACAAAAACAGACGTGATCAAAGTTTTCACGACACGCAAACAGATGCGCGTGTAATCGCGCATTTACATCATCCAATCGCGGTGTTTTTCGCGATCTTCGAAGTGAAAATCGGCAGAATACTAAAAGCGAACAGCCGCGAATCCAGCCTCCGCTTTTTAGTTTGCAAATGCATATATCGTGTTAGATTGTTACCGGCTCGCGTGTAATCCCGGTCAAATCGGACACCCGTTACATTACAACGATATTGTTTTCACACTTACTATTAGCCGAACACGTGTGCAGCTATATTTATACTTCTAGACAAATCAATTTGCGTAGTCAAATCTATGAGTAGATGCAGAGATGTCTCGAAATACTTCTTTCATTAATCATTTGTTCACTTTAAACTCGATTTTATCGTCTTTAAATAATCACGAATTTATAAGAGACAATTTATTTATTTATTTATCCCGGGACAAATTTTTGATATATAATTATATATAAATAATTATGTAATATATATTATACTTATAATCGTAAAATTATATTTGAAATATGTCGTCCATTTTTATACATAATTATATAAGTTTATATATAAATTATAAGGGTTCATATATAATCATGTCAAATTATATATTAAACATATATTTATATATATGAAGAAATACTTATTTATTATGTATATAAAACACTTTTATCTAATTATATATGGACATATTTCATATATAATTTTGCGATTATGTATGTATAATTTTATATATTTCTAATAATTTTATATTGTTATATATATACAAATTTTTTTCCCGGGATTATAATAAAATCTAATAAATATTAAGCTTCAGAAATATATTATAGATTCTATAGATAACATATTTTTTACGTAAATTTTATTGTAAAAAAAATAGCGTATGCTTGTTACCTGGGAATTTTATCAAGTTTTCCAAGACGTGATCAAGAATATACGATAAGAGCTATTTCGGGACATTCCGTTTACACAGTTTAGTGTAGAAAATTTTCCACAACCCACCGTGAGAGATCAACCCACTGTACATATCCGGTAGGCACATAACAAAATCACCCGATGCAGGAAACGTCGAGCAAGGAGGAAACTTTTCGCTTAACTGCCGTGCTTTTGTTGCACTTCACTTTGTGCAGACTCGGGGTTCTATTGAACGGATGTGTTTCTTTTCGTAAAATCGACCTTTTTGATCCCGGAAAACAGTGCGCTTTCTACAACTTTCCTTATCTCTTATAATTCTGTCATTTTATTAATCTCGATTCTGATTGTATTGAAAAAAAAAGTGTATCGAAATGTTCTCGTTTAATTTTATACACGGAAAAAATGGCTAAATTAATAAATATTTATTTCAATACTGCCTAATAAATAATTTATATGAAGCAAATAAATATTTATTTGTTTTGGAATGGATTTTCTGATATCTAATAAATATTTTTTACAGTAAATCAATATTATTAGTTTCAAATAAATGATTTATTCAGCAGTATTGAAGTAAATACTTATTCGAATTTCATACATTTTTTTCAGTGCACTGAAAAAATGGCTAAATTAATAAATATTTATTTCAATACTGCCTAATAGATAATTCATTTGAAGCAAATAAATATTTATTTGTTTTGGAAAGGATTTTCTGATATCAATAAATATTTTCACAGTAAATCAATATTATTAGTTTCAAATAAATGATTTATTCAGCAGTATTGAAATAAATACTTATTCGAATTTCATACATTTTTTTCAGTGCACTGAAAAAATGGCTAAATTAATAAATATTTATTTCAATATTGCCTAATAAATAATTTATATGAAGCAAATAAATATTTATTTGTTTTGGAAAGGATTTTCTGATATCTAATAAATATTTTTCACAGTAAATCAATATTATTAGTTTCAAATAAATGATTTATTCAGCAGTATTGAAATAAATACTTATTCGAATTTCATACATTTTTTTCAGTGCACTGAAAAAATGGCTAAATTAATAAATATTTATTTCAATACTGCCTAATAAATAATTTATATGAAGCAAATAAATATTTATTTGTTTTGGAAAGGATTTTCTGATATCTAATAAATATTTTTCACAGTAAATCAATATTATTAGTTTCAAATAAATGATTTATTCAGCAGTATTGAAATAAATACTTATTCAAATTTCATACATTTTTTTCAGTGCACTGAAAAAATGGCTAAATTAATAAATATTTATTTCAATACTGCCTAATAAATAATTTATATGAAGCAAATAAATATTTATTTGTTTTGGAAAGGATTTTCTTATCTCAAATAAATATTTTTCACAGTAAATCAATATTATTAGTTTCAAATAAATGATTTATTCAGCAGTATTGAAGTAAATATTTATTCGAATTTTATAAGTTTTTTTTCAGTGTATAATTTTTAAATTTTGTATAAATGCAAAATTATCAAATAATTTATCTTTGAATTTGCAATAATAAAACTTGAGAAATATTCTTTAATAATTAACCAAAATACACTGGACAGATAAAGTCTGTAAATGCTTGATTTTTCTAATTCATAAAGTACACAGTTGTATTTCAATTTTTCCACTTTCATTACTACATCAACAAATTTATTTATTAAGTTTCAAACACATTTAAATGAATGAGTCGTTTTTTCTTCACCATTCACTGAGGAATAACGAGTTCTATCAACAGATACAAACAATCTCCATCCGTTCGATCGAACCCTCATGATAGAATATAAGATCGAACGCAGTCGCTTGAAAGGAAAGGGTAAAGGCGTCCGATTGTCTTATCGATGAAGGTCTGCGCAAGATTCAGGGGATCTAATCGTACTTATAGAAATTTCTGATCTCCTGAATTTTTGCGCGGAAAACGTGAGACTTTCGATTTCTCGCGGAAATGAGACGAGATGGCGGAAGTTGAGAAAATTAAAAAAGGGGCGGCCCTTTCCTTTGGGTGAGGATTTTACACGAAACCGTCGCTTATCTTTCTTTCTTTCTTTCTCTCTCTTTCTTTCTCTCTTCAGGAGATTAAATTAGCGAAAGAGGATTGGGCAATGCACATCCAGCGCTTTTGTTTGCCTTTTTTTTTTTTTAATAGGCGACCGCTTGATTACATCACGTTGTTCGTTCCCGATAGTTTCGAAAGCTGCTTACAAAATTACACGAAGCTTTAACTCTTCGCGATGGCTTCGTAATCTTTGAAAAAGAAGAAGAGATCATTCGTTAACATAAACTCTGGAAATCGGCGACAAGGATTGAAGAGAAATCCGCGAGATGTATGAATAATTGAATAAAAGAGAGATGGACTAATTATAGAAATTATCGAGTTATTGGAAAATCGAGGTTCAAACGCGAATTGTAAAATTGAGACGGCTTCCATCGCGCGAAGGGTTGAAGCTGTTTTTCCATCCTTAGAGAAGCTTGATTACACACACACACACACACACACATATTACATGAAAGAAAAAAAACATTTTAACATTATCAACGAGGTGTCGTAGACACTCTTCTAGATCGGATTTTAGTTTAGTTCGCTTCTAGAGCACTCTCGTTAATTAGCCTCCTAATTAGAGATCAAATGATCTTTCGTGGTTGCCCTTTCCCCTTCGAGTCTTCGCGACCGAGAGTCGCATTATTTACCGATCAAACTAATATTATGTCATTCCTTGTACAACAAAACAGAGCAACTGGACCGGATCGAGGAGGGCATGGACCAGATTAACGCCGACATGAGAGAGGCCGAGAAGAATCTCACCGGAATGGAAAAGTGCTGCGGCCTTTGCGTTCTTCCCTGTAACAAGTATGACGACGACTATCTTAGCTATCTTTCACGTTACTTCTTTTTTACGTACTTTGTCGCCCTTTCTTTCTGAAAGAAAAATCTCGGAAAAAATTCCCTGCGCACTTTATACTCGAGTTTATTAATAATCCGCACGTGAGCTAGGTGATAAATTTAACGCGCGTTAGAGGAGGAATTAAATAATTGAAGAAATTAAAATATTAAGAAATTTTCATACGTCAAAAAGATGTCTACGAAGTTATCATTTTGTCTTCAAACTTCGATGATATGTATATCAAATGAATATTCATGAAAATTGCCAGCTGAATATAAATTAAATATTCAATTTTCTAAATTGAATAAAAGATTATTTAAGAGTCAATTAGTAAATTGTATAAATTTCGAATCTATACACGGAAAGAATTTTCTTTTAAAATTTATCCTGAAAATTATGGCAATCGTGAGACAATATGGTATTGAAGGAATTTTATGAGTTTCTCTGATTAAATTCACCGCTATAAAAAATATTAATCTGTGCATAATAAAATTAATCGAACATATTGTATGGTAAATATCAATCAGACAAATTTTTTAGATGTTAAATAATTTTTATTTTAATAGTATATTATATCAATTTATGACATTATCTTAATTTTAATTATCAGCAATATAAAGCATCTTTTATTCCATCCTTTTTGAATTTAAAAATTTATATACGATTATATGCTTATTTGTTCATCATAACCGTTTATCTTTCACTTTTAATGAATTAAATTGACCTATTTTTTCTTACTAATTTTTTCATACATTATCTTAATTTTAATTATCAGCAATATAAAGCATCTTTTATTCCATCCTTTTTGAATTTAAAAATTTATATGCTTATATTTGTTCATCATAACCGTTTATCTTTCACTTTTAATGAATTAAATTGACCTATTTTTTCTTACTAATTTTTTAATCAGAGAAACCTACGAAATTCTTCCAGTACCATATATATATTGTCCTACAATTACCATGATTTTCAGGGTAAATTCCAAGAGAAAATTCTTTCTGTGATTCAAAATTCTGAATTCGAATTTGATAAGAAATCGACAAAGTTTTCCGCGGTATCGAAAGAATTTTCCCGAGCTTAATCCCTGTCGCGATTTTGCGCGCGCAGAGGCGCCAGCTTTAAGGAGGACGAGGGCACGTGGAAGGGCAACGACGACGGCAAGGTCGTGAACAACCAGCCCCAGCGGGTGATGGACGACCGCAACGGCATCGGGCCCCAGAGCGGCTACATCGCCAAGATCACGAACGACGCGCGCGAGGGAGAGATGGAGGAGAACATGGGCCAGGTGAACACGATGATCGGCAACCTGAGGAACATGGCGATCGACATGGGCAGCGAGCTCGAGAATCAGAACCGGCAGATCGACAGGATCAATCGCAAGGTAAGCGCCGAACGAGAATGCACCGCCGGTGTCCGTCCGCAGCACCGCAGCACAACTTGCCGGGCACAACTCTGGCATGGCTCGTAAAAAGGTTGTACTCTTGTCCAGCTCCTGCGAAGAAAATTCAATCAACACAGAAAAAATAGTGTCCTTGAAAGAATGCAACAATGCCTTGATTCAAGTATATTTTATCCTTATAATAGCGCTAAATATGAATAATCTTGGATAAAGGATAATTTATCCTTAAAACAAAGTGCAAAATATTCTTGGTTGAAGCTGAAATTTACTTCAATTTAAAAATAAAGTTGCATTCAAATGTGACTAAGTTTGCTTTTACCATATAACGCTTTTAAAACAAGAATATATATCTTAAGGATAAAATATACTTCACACAAACTTATTTATTATTGAGGCAAATGAAGATTTGTGATTACAAAAAGCATTCTATGCTTAAATGAATCAAATAGCGTTCAAGAATAAAAATATACTTGAATCATGGATTTTTTTTATCTGTAAATTTTTATGTTCTTTGAACATATTTTTCAGAATAATTTTTGCGTATAGAATAGGGTTTTTATATTTTTCCCAGCTGGACAAGAGTCTAATAAAATTACCTGGATAGTATAATTTGCGTCCATATGTCGACATACTAAATCCTTGAAGAAGTGGAAGAGTTAGAACTTATTTTTGATAAAAGTAATTATCAAAGTAATTATCATGCCAGATTGTGTAAAATAAAACTAAAAATGATTACAATATAGGGCAAACTGCGGCTCTTTAAATTAAATAATTGTTATATGCCATAAAAAATTTGTTAGTTTTCTGTGAACGATAAATAATCTGACAATTTGATCAAGATAAAATTATCACGTGAAGCTTCAGATTAATGGATAATGTGAAGCAATAATCTTCGAGTAATTCAGTATGTCGATGAGGTTTCTCAAGTCCAGTATACGTCTGCTAATAATGCTATCAACGAATATCAAATAATTATTTTTAACAATCTCGATTAAAATAAATTAATGTAAAAATAAAAAATTTATAAGACTAAAAATTTTAAAGAATCGAATAAAAATATCAAAATTGGAAGATTCTTGTAAATTTATATTGATCGAACAGTGTCTTACATTATCGAATTTTAAGACCTTTAGAGCTTCAGTTTCTTAAACTTAAAGTTGAACAAAAACTTTAGTCAAAAATTTTTAATCCTCGCATCCTTAAATTTATCATGCAATTAAATTCTAATCTTCCTCTTCTCTGATATCTCTAATTAAATTTTAATTCGACTGAATTTTTCATGAGAAAAATTAAATTTTAATTTAAAATTGAATTATTTAATTAATTTAAAAATAGGAATATATATATATATATATATAATCTAAATTTAATTAAGTGCAATTAATTTTACGGCTAATATTTGCACATGTTTACTGGATTATATTTTTACACTAGGATGAGCTGACATGTGTCTCGATATATGCGCGAATCTCTATATGTCACAATGCACAGGCTCAGAGCGATGCACATCACGTTCGTCGTCGCTTTCGCTTTTTTATGTACTCCATCATGCCTTTCCTTTCTTCCTTCCTTTCGCTCTCTTCCGCCTTGTATGTTATATGTCACGTAATCCTAATTCGGATAGGTTCTCCAACGATGTCATCGTCGTCGTCCTTTTTCACTTTCCTATTCCTCGAGAATAAACCCATGTTTAAAAAGCAACATGACGTGCACTGTATCTAACAATAAGCCAAAGAAACCTTTCTGCAATTTCGCGGGATAAATAAATCTTTAAATCTTAAACAATATAATTAAAACTAAAATCTTAAATCTTTTTATAGCTATAAATGATAAAGCAGATGTTTGTCTACAATGAAATACAGAAAAAAGTGTATTTTTTTAAATCACGCACTTTATTTTTTATTTAATTACATCAGAATCAGTCACAGAAAAAATTTTCTCTTAGAATTTATCCTGAAAATCATGGTAATCGTGCACTGAAAAAAATATATTGAATTTGAATATTTATTTCAATACTGCCTATAATAAATCATTTATTTGAAACAAGAAAACTCTCTTTTCAAAACAGATAAGTATTTATTAATTTAATAATTTTTAAACAATTTTAGTATGTACATAATAAAATTGATCGCGTATATTTTATATATTTTATTGTGTTAAATATTAATTAGAGAAATCTCATTAAAATTCTTTGAATATCATATTGTCCCACGATTATCATGATTTTCAGGATAAATTCTAAGAGAAAAGAAATTCTCTTCGTGTTTATTTAATTACATCAAAAATGCAAAAACTGAAATAATAATAAGAGAATTTGTGTACAATTTTTATAAACGGAAGATTTTCCTTCTTCGCTCGATTTTATTGTTTATAAGATCAAAGTTTTTAATCTGAAAAAATCGAAATTGTGACAAGAGTAGAATCTCAACATCAGTGACCCGAAAGAAAAAGAAAATATATATCCCAGTAATTTCCGTTTCAACGCATGCTTACGCAAGCGCAACGCACGATATTAGCCGTAATGATTCGCCTCTCGTCTTAGACGTCGGCTTTTTTTTTTCTACGGCACCTTTTCGATATTAATCTACGGGCACACACACTTTATCCTCCGGTCTTCATCCCCTCGGTACAGCCTGCCTTCTATGTTCTTACTCAATTATTGCACCACCTTCTTCTAATCTTTCTATCTCTTTTTTCACGAGATTTTATCAGAACTATGATATTTTCCATGGATTCTCAATGAAAAAAAAAAGAAAAACAAACTCCTGACAGATTAAAAACAGAAGTGAGAAATTTTTTCATGTTGAAATATTAAAGTTTTATGAGATAAAAAAGTGAAAATTATCTTAAACTTGTTTAAAAAAATCTAATTAACAATTTGTTCAATTATTGAACTGGATATCAAAGTCGAAATAAATGTTAGCATTATAGAGAAAACGGGGCTACGTATTTCTGAATAAACAGTACAATATATAACAATTAATGAATTTGTTATTCTGATGATTTATTAAATATTTTCTCTCCCCTTCAAATAATAAATGCTTGAGAATCCGTGCACATTTCGCCACACTTTTGGATTTTTATCATAGTCCTTGGTAGTGGGTCCTAGACAAAAGAGAGACAGAATTTTCTGATTTATATAAAAGCGCTTCTCAAACGATCAATAATATACGTATTCATATCTCTAACGATATTTCAATAATTATCTGTCATTACTTATTGCAACACACATGCGCCGTTATTGAGCTTTCGATCAATTTTATATATTTCTCGTATTTACATCATAATATAAGGCATTTTACAACGTTTGCATTAACTCGAATTAAACGCGCAACTTAATAATCGATATTTGACGCATCGACATTTACCTTCCAACCTCTGGTATTTATTGAGATTAAATTTATATTTTCTCTCATTTTTTCCCTTTAATTGCTTCATTTTTCTTATTATTAGATTCTTTGTTATGTGTTATTCTTTCCTTCGATCAACGTTCAACGCTTTCGGTATATTGATCGGCGAATTTTTTCCGTACTTACATAATATTTTTCCTTTGAAAACATTACTCGATAAATATATTGATCGTTTGAAAATCGTTAGCCCTTTAAAGGTCATATCTTGAAACTCGATACGATTTCAAATATTCCAAGTCCTTTTATTTCGAAACAATTTACATATTAATATTTCAATATAATTTACATATTAATTTGTTACACAAATCCGCGTTCTAGGAAAATATTATGATCTTTAATGGGTTGTTTCAGTGATGCACAATCTCAAAAAACGGTTATTAAATTGATGAAAAAATTACAAGCAAGGAAAGAAAGGGTTTTATTGCTCACAATCATTATAACATCTCTATATTTTACTATTTAAATGAGAGTTAAAAGTTGTTCAGTTTAAAAAAATACAAGCTCGATCGTACTACGTAATTTAATATTAATTTATTTGTACCGAGACGACTTCTCTGATGAACGTAAAGTGAGATAAATCCGCTACGCGATCCGATCGTGGTAGCGTATAATGCCGAAGGGGTTGAAACCTCGTGAGAAAACCGCAAGACTCGAGAGATTGTGCATTACACCGGTGAACAAAAGCCGCACTAAACACACGTACCTGCACCTACACCTACATATATACACGCATTCAGACATCCAGCGTTGACCACACACCGCACACACATCTCTATGACCGAAACCCAAACTGATAATCCGCAGGGCGAGTCGAACGAAACGAGGATAGCCGTGGCGAACCAACGTGCGCACGCCCTGCTCAAGTAAAATGCGTCTCTTCTCTCTGTCTCCACGTAATCCGCCTCCTCCGAGCCCCAAGTTGCATATCACGATGAGATGTCTCGAACGAAAGAGAAAAAAAGAAAGAAAAAATTATACACTTGCATATATTATACTTATTATATATTATACATATTTAGAGACCCTGACACACATGATGGCGGAACTGGGATTATTCTGGAGGGAAGGGACATAAAATTTAATTAAAATTTATTTGAATTGATGAAAAATTATATTTGCGCGTAATTTAATTATCAAACATTATGAATTAAATTATTTGAAATTATAAAATAAGTTTTAATTGTAATTAATGATATCGCATATTACATCCGGAATATAATTCAGTTATTGAAATAATCGAGATATATACGCGAATTAAATGTGTTACCATTCGAATATAATGTTTACAAATCGTTCTATAAAAGCTTGAAATATTAAATTGTGCGAATATTCCCAGTTTCGCGAATAATCTCTCCCCCACCATCCGAAAAATCAATCCTCACCCATGCTGTCTTTTCGTCGTCGCTCGGTCCAAATCCCGCGTGTTTTGTCTTCAACCCCCGATCCAAGAGAAACCTGTGCAACAATGAAAAAAAATTACCACCACCAATAATCATGCCACTTTTACTAATCATCACTAATCATCACTAACCATCGCTAACCATCACTAACCATCGCTAATATTTCGACGATATACAAATGAACAGCCGCTCGATAGTCATCATACACGATGCTTTCCGGAGAAAATATTTTATTTGGGACACGTAATTTTATAAAATTACATGATAAAAATGCAGTCTTTATCTATTCTTAGAAATTCTCATCGCTTGTACAAAAATTAATGACGTCTTGATTCTTTGACTAAAAAAAATTCTTTTATCATTAAAATTAAAATTGTGGATGGGAAAAATTTTTACTCTGCATGTCCTCGTCCACTTTTTAAAAATGTTCTATTAATGTGAATTTAATCAATTAATCTGTTAATGATAAATTAATGTTAAAAATCTCTCTTGATGGATGAATTTGACATCGAGAAAGCATTTAATCGAGATTATCGAGTGGTGGTGCATCGCACTCTGAGATGTGTCATCTCACTCTTCTCGTACACACGTTGTCACAAGGCTCGTGTCACATGTTGCCATCCTCGTTGTGATTGTGCCACGAATGGAAGCGCCGCCGCCGTCGACGACGGCGACGGGGAATTGCATCTCGTTGATCCCTTTGAACCCCGTTGTACTGGAACCGTTCTCGAACCGCTTTCGTCCCCGACGCTCCCCGACAAGGTCGATCGAGTTAACACGCTTAACATCATGTCGTGGACACCACGACGAGCCAGCATGCGAATATCCCGTCGTCTCTTCCGGATTTCGCGCGACCTCGCGCGGATTTCGGAAAGAAAAAAACATTTGTGGACCGTGAATCGAATTTAATAATTGTCACTTGAGAAATTGAGTTTCGAGATTTTTTTCGGAGAATTCGAAAATTCTTGTTACAAAAAATTGAAAGAAATATTAGCTACTAATATTTTTTTATATTAACAGCTGTTTTGATTAAAAATCAATCTGCTATTTCAGGAAACATTTGCACCAATTAATATATTAGTTTAAAATCATATTTCACAATAAATACATAAATACACAATAAATTCTGAAGAATTTTTTATAATTGAAACTCGCTGCGAACATAAAGACATTTAAATACTCTTTGAAAAAAAATCTTTGACAATAACTCTTTCTCAAGTTCCCTTTGAGAAACCATCTGCAATATAACAATAGGGTCCGCGGAAATGATGACATTTCGCGATGCCCGGCCTCGATTTCCACCGAAGCAGGTCCACGATGACAGCTCGCGTATACGACATTGCGTTTTTGTTGTTCTTTGACACGCAGGGCGAGTCGAACGAGACGAGGATACAGGTGGCCAACGAGCGAGCTCATCAGCTACTCAAGTAAAGCGGCCGCATTCACAGTCGACCACCACGTCGGTCGCCACGAGCATCACTACCATCACCCTCCACCACCACCACCACCACCGACAACAACAACAACAACAAGAACAATACAAGAACAACAACACCGACACCAACAATCAGCACAACTTACACTCGACAGTCCACTCGATTGTTTGCAAGCGGTCTATCTTATTCGCGTTTCGTTCGTTGTCTCTTCATTTGCATCTAAAAAAAAATATCGAGTTTGACCAAACAAGCTTGAGAGGTATATACTTAATGTTGCCGAAATACTTAACCCTAAACTTGACTAAGTTCTGTAAAAAAAGAAAAAAAGAAAAAAATACGTAATTCTGTTTCCCCGTTAATCAGAATTATTTTTTGGTTTTACTTTAATTTTTTAAAATAAGTATCGTGTGGATTGTATACACTCTCTTATGTGTATTAGGATGTTTAAAAGTCATCACTTAAATGGACTTCTGATCTTTTAGACGAGTTTTATTTGTATTGTCGTGGAGGTGTCTCTTCTTTTTGCGCGTATATATATATATAATTATCATAATTGCATAATCTGCTTTACAAAACAATGCAGCTCAGGAAAAAAACTTGTGTAAAAAATAAATGCTGAATTTGTTGTCATATTGGTGTACTATTGTATATTTTATATATCTTTCTCCTTCATAATATATTGCAATTCTTTGAATTTTACTTCCTTAATTTCTGCTGCAAGTTTAGGGTTAACGCGTCCAAAATATCGCGAGATCGAGTCATAAATTTGGAGATTGAATTTGATTTTTGGTTTGAGAAATTCGTGCGTGTACTTCAATTACATTCCTAACGTATTAATTTTTTTAATTATTAATTTAATTTGTTAAATATAATCAGAAATGAAATTTAATCTCCGAAACATTGGACTCTTTGATTTTTTTACGACAGCGGGGATGATAATCCGCCAATGAGAAGCCTCGAGGCGAAATTATACTTCGTGATCGGCTAATAATCGGCAATTTAAAGCCGAATATACTAAAAATAGAAATCTCTAATTTAAGACCAGCAGCTTTATCGTACCGATCGCAACAAAGTGCCGATGGAATTTTTCTCTAACGTGGTAGAAATATGTCGAGTATATCGTGTAGCTTAAAAAGAAAAAAAAGCGAAGCTGCGAAATTTAATCTCCAATTGAAAAAGCGAGCAGCTTCGTTCTTTACCGACAAAACATTAACGTTAACTTTAATGGTAAATTTTAAATTAGAAAGAAAAAAAATATATATTATATATATCTCGTTATACTTCACACATATATACGTATACACGTACACATGTTGGAGATTAAATAATTAATGCACACGAACGGTGCAGCGACTAATTAATTTTTCTCTCGGTTCAATCGAGACCCTGGAGCGGAATTACATATATCGAAAGGAGAAAGGAGAACAGAGGAAGGAGGAAAAACAGTATATCACAAGTACAAAAGAAATCATTACACTTATCTCTCCCTTTGACGAAAAAAAATATATCCCTAGTACTCTTGTACAGGCTAGCTTTATTTATTATCTCGTTATTATTATATATACATATATATATTATACATATATCTATTTATCGCTCTCCGATTATATAACTTGCGCGCGAGAGCTATATTCAAGGATAGCCGATACTTTATCTTTACTCACGTGAGAAGAGCGACATACTTATTAATCTCCCTCTCTCGAATTTCCCCGAGTTCTCCCCGCGACCCAGATAGCAAACATACGTCATTTTGACGTGATTATACGTCAAAATGACGTGGAATGACATCATTAAACATCAAACCGACGGAATGACGTGATTAAACGTCAAAATGACGTGGAATGACGTCATTAGCTGTCAAAACGACGTGGAATGACGTCATTAGCTGTCAAAATGACGTAGAATGACGTGATTAGACGTCAAGATGACGTGGAATGACGTGATTAGACGTCAAAATGACGTGGAATGACGTGATTAAACGTCAAAATGGCGTGGAATGACGTGATTAAACGTCAAAATAGCGTGGAATGACGTGATTAGACGTCAAAATGACGTGGAATGGCGTGATTAGACGTCAAAATGGCGTGGAATGACGTGATTAGACGTCAAAATGACGTGGAATGACGTGATTAAACGTCAAAATGGCGTGGAATGACGTGATTAAACGTCAAAATAGCGTGGAATGACGTGATTAGACGTCAAAATGGCGTGGAATGACGTGATTAGACGTCAAAATGGCGTGGAATGGCGTGATTAGACGTCAAAATGGCGTGGAATGACGTGATAGACGTCAAGATGATGTGATTAGATATCAAAATGGCGAGGAATGGCGTGATTAGACGTCAAAATGACGTTTGCTACTTGGGAAAGGACCTCGTTGCTTTCCTTTCCCTTCCATGGCAAAAAAATAAAGATCGATCACACACGCAAACACACATATAAACACACACGCATACACATACATATTCTCGAACTCAATCTCGAGTAATCTCGAAAAAGCGTTTCGGAATTGTACCGGGTGTCTCTTCCCACCCGGATCCGCGTGCGAAAAGCGCGGGAAGAAAGAAAGATCGGTGATGACACTTGGAGGAGGAAGGGAGTAGTGGAATCGCGTGCGGAGGACGAAGGAGCACACGCAGGACGAGGAAGAGGAAGAAGATGAAGATGAAGAAGAATATATATATAATATATATAATATATATATATATATATATATATATATATACCGAGATATATAATAATCGAAGCAACGAAGAGAACGCGTTCAGCCACACACGATTAAGTATATAGGAGTCGCTGAAGCTGTAGATAGAGAGAGCGAGGTCTTCTTTTTTCGTCGTCGTTTTTAAAAAGAAAAAGAGAAAAAAAAAACTCGATTCACAAACTCGACGAACGTAGAGCGTAGGTGTTATCCCCCTATGTCCTTTTTGCCTCCTCACCCCCTCACACCCACCCCCACCCAATTCTCCCCTTTTGCGCCAATCGCGCCGAGATCACAGTAAGGTTTAACTCCAAAAAAAAGAAAGATTGTACATTACTGTATTTACACGAGGGCGACGTACCTACCTTGTTAAATCGTACGAGGAGTATGGAGAGGGAAAAAAAAAAAAGAAAGAAAAGTCCGCCAAGGCACGAGAGAATCGATATCCCTCGATCCTATCCTGCAGCGGCCCTGAATTATCCCGCCGTGATCCTGACGGGATGCTCTTATTACAGAACAAGGACGAGTAAAAGGTTCTTTACGAGAACGCGCTCTTGTTATTATTGACATTTAACGAATAATAAATATATATATATATATATATATATATATATATATATATATGACGCCTCTCCGGGGTTTAAGGTATTCCTCGACAATTTTGTAAAAACTACTAATCCGCGCTAATTCGTCTGCTAAACCAAGTCCTAGTAATTTCAGGTCGGAGGATCCCTTATTGCATCTCGCACTACCCTTCTTAGCTGCACGCGCCTTGGAAATGTAAAAGGGGGAGGATAGATAGAGGAAGTCGATAATTGTTAATCAACCTTTAGGTGTTTTCGCTCCGTTTTTTGTAAACTTCGAAGGAAAACATTGATGAGTCGGATATCGATCTCTCTCGAGCTGGGCCAGGAAAGATCGAGCACAAATAAAAATACTGCGTAGCCTTTTCGATTTTGCTTGTCTTTTGCTTTCTCTCGAAGAAGAGGAGGAGGAAGAAAAAATGCCCTTTGGACATTTCGCCGGACGAAACATGTGTTATAAGAGGAGTGAAAGGGTTCGCGAGAGTTTGAGAAATAGAGAGAGAGAGAGAGAGAGCGAAAAATAAAAAATCCGAATGTGCGTGTATGTGAGAGAAATAGAGAGAAATTGTGCTACGACGCGAGATCATTAGGCCTATAGTGATCACTTACGTCGAGAAAAATTTTAAATACTTCTTAAATAGATGACGTATATATATACACAGAAGTGTCTTCTCATTTCTATCATTATTATTGTTCCATTTTAATGGAATGACAGATTCCTCGAGCAATTTGAAATGAATTTTTCCTCGACGAAAGTGTCAACAGGCGCCGATAGAGCTTTCGAATAATTGTAATTTATATATCGTAATTATATTTTTCGATCAATTGTGCGAAATTTTCATTTACCACAAAGAAATATGCGTAAAGTCGCTGCGATAATAAATATATTCCTCGATTTTTTTTCGAGGGAAGATCGATTCCGAATCGGACGAGAAATCTTTCGCTTATAATAACGCGATATACATACGTCATTTATTTGCATTTATATATATATATATATACACACACACATACATATATACATATATTTATGCATATGTATACATAGCCGTGTAGAGAACGAGCGCAGTGGACCCTTTCTTAAATAGCTCCTGGTAAACGAGAATCGAGTGTTGAAAAAAGGCTTTACTCAAGCGAGAGAGAGAGAGAGAGTGTGTGTGAGAGAGAGAGAGAGAGAGAGAGAGAGAGAGTATCTTTATTACATATTATATATATATATATATATATATATATTATAAATAAACAAACGATACATAGATATAAATATATATAAATATATATAAATGAAAAAAAATATATATATAAATATATATATGTATATCCATATAAATATATAAATACGGGATCGAGCAATATTGTACTTGTTACTTCGTCGTTACTGTTTATCACCGCGTATTGCGAGATTACGTACTTATTTTACGAGTATTGTCCGCCCCATTAGGGCCCACCCTCCCCTTCTTTAGCCCCCTCCTAATTAACCCCCAACCCCCTGAAGTCATATCGAATCTACAGGTCTATGTGGTAACGCGTATACATTTTAAACATCTACTCACACACACACACATACACAGAAATAATGTATAGACAGGCAAATTAGGTGAAATAGGTAGATAGACGAGTAGACACACACAAGCGATAATTTTAAAGATTAACGGAAGGAGAGGAGAATGAGGTAAGAGAGATGTATGTGTGTATATGTGAGAAAATACGGATCGCGCGAACGAGAGAATAATAATAATAATAATGAGGGGGATGAGAGAGTAAACCCGATGAAAGGAAATGCAAAAGTGCATGAAGAGTGGGAAAAATTACGGAAGTTACGAAATAAAAAAATTACCGCTCTTTGTAAAAAGGATGTACCAGGTGTTTCCCGGGATTGTCGAATGTCTTTGCAGCGATTGAAATTAAATTAAATTAAGTGCTAAGGTGGTTCCAAGATGTAACTTTTAAGCAAAATCTTTCGATTTAATTCGCAGATTAAATTTTTTTAATTAATTAGTCGAACACTTTTCTGTCATTTTAATGACGTAAAAAATATTTTTGTTTTAAAATTTATTCGAGATATATATATATTTAACAGGGTGCCTACTCAAACATTTTTTATCTTGTAAAAGCAGAAATCTCATGAAATTTTTTATCTCAGGGAATTTTTTTAAAAATTTCTCAAAAGAACAAAACTAATTTTGTATTATACTGCGAACTTTTAGCAATCAATCATTAAAATTTGTAACTATAACAAAGTTAATTCCTGATAATAAAAGGATGCAAAAATGCAAATAAAAAAGCTTTATTTTTCAATCTTCGATATCGACATATCGATTCGATAAAAGCACGCACAATATAAATAAATTCAATTTTCAAAATTGCATCTAAAACTTACTCGATCTTATCTGGAAGTTCGAAAACAAATATTTAAAAAATCAAGAAATTTTCCGGGATTCTTTTTACAAAGATTTAGAGATTTTGGAGTAGACATTCTGTTTTGATAAAAATTAATGATGATGATTGGCGCATTCAGAGAGTAGCTCTCTGGGAACGTTTCGACAAATCCGGAAATACTCCTTACACGAATCTAATATGGAGCAATTCCATACCTCCTAAGCGACAATTGTACCTCGATGTTAAACGTTTATAGCGGAGATCGAAAGAGCTCCAGCGGAACTGCCGGCAATGTGATACGCGGCCTCGATCTGCGATACTATAAAGAGGCGATCAAACTTTTGGGAATCGACGCGGTGGCACGAGATCGAATTTCAATTTCCAATATATTTCCATCGATTTTAAAATTTAAAATTTCGCACACTTTTCTTTTTCAATTATCACACGTAATTAATTACGTTTCCCCTTTTTAACATCGTTAAATATATCGATGATCTTAAAAAAAAAAAAAAAAAAAAAAAAATCTCTAAATAAAGGTAGCACTCGTAGTTTCGATCGTCGAGAGATTTTTAATCTTAAAGATCCTAGACGATTACGATTAATAAATCTAAAGTATATAATATATATAAGTCGATTGGAACTCGTTCCGTCGATCGGTTCCTACCTCGGACGAAACGTGAGGTGCGAAGTGCCACCTCTTCGTGTACTTAGCGCGAAAAATGCGAGTGCGAGAGAGACAAATATACCTGGGACCACCGTGCAAAGACGTGCAGGGTGTCGTCTTCGAGGCACTCCGAGCTAATCCGAATGACAGAACGAAGGCGACGGAATTAAAAAAAAAAAAATAAATAAATAAAAATAAAGCTGCGACGAGCTAATGATACGAGAGCGAGATGGGAAAAAATGTTACACATTTGTAAACTGTAAAGTTATTGATTAAATAAGAGAGCGGGGAAAAGAGACGGGACGAGACCCAGCTTCTCTCTCTTTTTAGTACCGATTATAATGTCGCTAGATGTATTTACGATACCGTCGTATAAAGAAATGGAGGAGGTAAAGAAGTCTCTCTCTCCTCGGCGGTATCATTATAACACAAATGCCTGTGTATTTTACTTCTTGGCAAAATAATAAACCATCAAGTATTGTACGTCGTTCACGACACGTTTTTCCTCCAAGATCCGTCTCATTTTTTTTTTCAAGCCGATAGTTTGATATGAACTCAAAGAGATCCTAAAAATAATTATAAGTTAATTTATAACAAGATTTTATCAGAATCAAGAATTCAAATTCAATAATTTATATCATCGATAAACGTCATAATTCTGTGCTATCAAAAATTAAAAAATCCATAAATACAATTTTTCATTAATTTATAAACATAGTATAATAAATTAAATTCCAATTAGATTCATGGATACTTTATGCAATCAATTGTTTAATTCGAAAGTGCCATAAATCAACTTGCACAAAACAATACAAAAACGGAGTTGAGCAAATATATTAAAAAATTTGACTAGTTTCCAAAGCAATTCAAACTGGATGCTGCATATGCAAGAGATAAACTTTGGTGGCCTTCAATATCTTCCAATAAATCAAATCCAAGTCCTGAGACGCGAATCCAGTTCAGCAATTGCGATGAATGGAGCCGTCCTCTGGTATTCAAGATCAATCAATTTTGTCACAAGCTGTTACTGACGTCTCACTCTGGTAAGAACTCGCTTTATATTCGACGATTCGTGCTTGACCTCGAACACATGCCGGAACATATGCGTTTATATATTTACGGCACAAGTGTTTTACAATAAATATTATACAATTGTTTTGCTGATCAAAAATAATTCTGAGTGTTCTAGAATCTTTTTGTGGACAAAAGGAAAGTGATATTCTGAGATTTGGTATTTTTTTAAAAGTTATATTAGTAAATAATGTATAAATTAGACATTTATTTTGTAAGACGAGCTGTGGACAAAATAAACAATCGTGCAACACTCTTAATACTTAAATTACAACATTTTAGAAAAATATTGATAATAATATTGAAAATAAATATGTGTTGTAACATTATTAATGCAATGCTAAAGCAATTTAATTCAATGTACTTGTAATGTACTCAAATTGTCTTCACTTATATATTGAAGATGTTTCATTGCATAATGGGCACGATTTAAATGAAATTTGATAAACGCTAGTCTGTATAAAAATATAGAATAATATCTAAGATTATTATAATCTACAAATTTAACACATAAACTTATTAACTTATTATCAAAATTTATGAGATCTTATTCAGTTGGATTCCAATTTCTCGATATGCACCAGCTTAGAAACTCTATCTATCAGATGTGTCAAGTGAGTCTTGTAATTTAGCGGAGCGACCGATGCACAGGTGTGTTTCACTCTCATTTCATCCTATAAAATATAGAAATTATCAGAAAATGAAAAATCAAGTTTGTGTTAAAATAATCATCTTGAACAATGAAACTTGTCAATGTTAAAGAAAGAAAAAAACTGCTGCATCACAATTAAAATTTAGTAATTTCGGAAACAGGGTTGAATAAGTTAATTATATTTTAAAACTAAGTTAAAAGTTAATGGCTTAAAGTAACTTATAAAATTAATTTAGTTTATGTTAATAAAAAGTTGCATGAACAAACAAGTAACACAGTTAAAATTGAGATAAGATTAAATTAATTCAGTTAAATTAAAAGTTAATTTTTTTTATTTATATAAAATAATAATAAAATAAAAATTATTTTTTATATAAAAATGTTTTTTCCTTTGTAATTACAATTATGAAAAAAATAAACACCAATAGTATATAAAATCTTTATTTATTATCATAATACTTGTAAGAATGCATCATAGAATGATGCTCTTATTAAAATTTAATCGTTCTTAAAATTCAATTCAATGTTTAAGATTTTATAGAAAAAAATAATGTCATTGAGGGATAAAAAATGTTTAACTTAGGAAAAAAGTTAATAAGTTTAAGTTTAAAAAATAATCAGTGTAAATTAAAAATTAACTTATTTTAAATTTTGTAAATTATGAGGCAAAAGTTATTAACTTTTTTTTAACTTTTAAACTTTAACTAATTAATTAGTTACTATTCAACGTTGCTTGAAAGTAAACTGAATCGCTTACCTGAAAAACTTCAGATCTCACCCTCAAACTGAACGTGAATCTCTTGAAGCTCGCCTCAGCGAATTTCTGCATATAGGCGTCGTTATCGTTTTCCTTTAATTCTCCCAATTCTTGCGCCGACATGCCTAATATCTTTTCAGCGTCCTCGTTGAAGGCGGTTATCCAGCGATTGCCTGTTGCATCCGCTATATTCATCTGTGAAAATTATTAAGAAATCGTTGAAGAATCAAGATTCCTAAAAATATTTTCAAATAATAAAGGATATAATATACGTACACTTGCTAACAAGCGATAAAGAAAATTAGGATAATCTCTATTACACTTCTCGCATCTGAATATTCCAGTAGATTGATCAATTAACTGAAATTGAATAGCGCTTTATAGTAATTCGTATTAAATCTATTATATTATTATGTAGTTATAATGTTATCTAATAAAATGTTAAGAAAGATATATAGTTAATACATTTAAGTTAATAAAATTAAACATAATTTTATCGAGAAATTATGTTTTTTCTCGTATAAAATATTATAATGACAATAAGGAAGTTGTTGCTTAAAATGTTTCAAAAAATAGAAATTTAATTCTATTATCTTATTTAGCCTCTAAAATGTATTTAGTTTGTCTTTTAATTATAATCTCAGTTCTCTACATAAATACAAATATGAAATATCGTGAAGAGAAAAATAAGAATTCCTACTTTATAATTTTAAATATATCTCGCACATAACTCACCTTCTTCTTGCAACTTTCTACAGGACAAGCCTTGTAAATCGAATTTTCCACGCGAATTAAATTGATAGTGGCCACAACTGTAAAAGCATCGGCGAGATTTAATTTCTCTCCCAACCGTGCTTCGGTCGCTTCTTGGAAAGTATATAAAGGTGCATTGAAATCACCACTACCACCTGCTTTAGATAGCGATTTGGCGGTCTCCGAATGACCCACTGTAGTATACCATCCACGCAATCTGAAATGTGCAATGTATTATATAAAAATTATTATTATTATTATTATTATTATCATATGTATATTGTATAAGCTATAGTTTGCAGGATGCAAACATCCTGTGTTGGACATCTTGATGTTTACATCCTGTAAACTATACTTTATTTTTAAAACTGTTATAAAAGTAACATATCCCTAAAAGAATTCAAAAACGTTAAGATGAAAATCATGAGATGTAATTAAAAAAATTAATTAAAAAATTGAAAATTATAGAAGTTGAGTGAATAAAACTTTAAACTAGTAGAGAATAAGATCGTTTTTCCAGTTAACTTTGCATAGATTCTATTTTATTCAATTTAATTCTATTTCATTTCTACTCTATTATTATTAATTCTATTTAATTCTATTTTAATAGACTCTAAATTAAAAAGAAAAATTTAGGAATTGCAATAAGATCTCAACAAATTTATATAGTTTGCAATGTTAACAAAAAATTATCGCTAAAGAAAACGTTTTTAAACCATGACGTACATCTAATATAATTAGTATTTATATATGTACCTATGTGCTTCCGGTAAATCCGGATCCTTTTCGAGTACGGATGAATTTAAAAGAGACAAATTCTTTCCGCCGTTGAATTCTCCGATGCGCGCTCCTTTAATAGCGATAATCGGATTATTGGAACCATCAAAATCTTCGGCCTGTTTACCCCAAAGTGTGACGCTTATCTGACGTATAAAAAGAAATTCGTTTATTCGTTCATAATGTTAAAATGTGCTCTCTCAATTGCTTACCATCGCACCACTATCATCGACGATATTAATGTCTCTTTTTACAAGTTCTCGACCAGTACTTCGCTGTGTTATATGTTGCACATCATTGAATGTTGTGACAATGCCTAAAATGTCTATTGCAAACAAACACGACATTATTTTACATACAGTGTTACAATTTCCAAATTAATCAATTTAGTGTATCAATCTTATTTCATAAATTTAACAGATATTGTTTTTTATCATATATTCTTTAATGTAACCAGAATATTTTAAACATCTTTCGATATAAAAAATAGAAATCAATGTTTAAGGTTTAATTATATATTAGCACTTTTTTTACCTATCATATCATTCTTCTCCTTGTTTTCCACCTGACTTATGGCACAGAAATTAAACTGCAACGTCGGTATGTCTTCGCTGTTCTCATGGCATGGCACAATTTCTGTATCGTTGGTCATTGTCATCTCGTAATCATTCTTTAATGAGTTGAACTGTTTATTTGCCGCTTTCAGCGCGCATCGTGAGATATAGTACACGTTTCCAATCTGTACAAATAAAATATTCTGCACAAGTTTACCTTTAAAAAAAAAAAAAACTGATTGTAATTGCATGTACATACCTCTATCATATCATAGAATTTATCGCACATATCTCTAAACGCGGTGCATCGAATCTCACCGCTCTCATCAATTAAATCCATAGAGAACAGTTTACCCTCTCCACGAGAGTTGCTCCATGTTCTAATCGCAGATTTATTGGTCACACGAACCTTAATCACCCATCTAAAGATGCAAAATTTTATTAGTTTCTTCCCTTCACATAATACCTATAAATATATTTTAATCTTGATTTCATATTCTTACCTGTTTTGATAAGGACTTAATGCCGCAATTGGTGTAGTACATATATCAGATGAAAAGGAATTATTTGAAGTATTTTTCTGAGCTGCACCATCTATCGCAAGCAAAACAAATTTTATATTCAATAATAAAAGTGTCACAAAAGATAAAATATAATTAGAAATTATTCTCAAATACAATTGACAAAATAAATAGTATTTACTAGTTTGATAACGTCCATTAGTCGAGGCTGTATTTGTATTAGATGTAGTTGGCTCAGACTCTGATTTGTTGTCTATGTTAGTTGGATCACCTATCTTACATCCAACTGTGCGGCCAGGAACTGTCACCTCGATACCCATTATTAATATCACGCGTCTAATAAAACAAATAGAAATGTATGCTTGACTTTTATACTACTTGTACTTTAATGCATAAAAAATATGCGATAAATACTTTTCCTTGCCACCATTGTTCACCGTAGACAGATGATAGTTTGTTACTTTGCAGATTGCATATTCAGTCAGAATGTCATCGGTTATGAGATTGTTTAATTGGGTAGCCAGCATTGTAAATGAGTTGAATTTCTGTCCATCAGATACGAGTAATCTGTATCGATCACAACCAGGAGTACCATCTTTATTCACAGATTTTGGTAGTTTTTTGTAACCCTGTAGAGACAATTAAGATAAATATTCCATAAAACTAGGAAGTAGAAATCTAACCATGTAACATCAATTTTTCTGAATTTTAAAGATGATCCTAAACGTCTTTAAGAAGTCTGTTGATTTTTCTCTTTTTAATCGACAAAATATGAAGTTAAATCACTATAAATCTATTTATTGGCCATATGGATTGTTTTTTACCTGAAATTAGAACGCTTCACGCTTTATTGATATTAATACTTTAATTTGTACAGGAAAAAGATATATGAGACTATATAGATTAATAAATCTTTTTCCTGTACAAATTAAAGTATCAATATTAACAAAAAGCGAAGCATTTCAATTTCAGATAAAAAACAATCTGTATAACCAATAGATTTATCGTTTATCTAACCCCAAATTTTGTTGATAAAAAAGAACAGACTTCTCAATGACGCTTAGGATTCCCTTAAGAATAAAGCAGAATATGTTCATGCTTTATGAAAGTATATAATTTTCCTAACAACAGACCCACAAAAACAACGGAAATGCAACTGTCATGACCTTGTTAACAAGATGCTATATATAAGAGCAACATTTACACTTCTAAGATATTTTTTACGATTTGTTTTTTAAACAATACTGCTTCGCGGATCAAAAATTACGAGAAATTAGATCTGTCAAGCTATCCATTGCGTTTATTTAACAATTATCCTCACCAACATTTGAAGTATCGGTTTTTCCACATCTACGCCTCTCATGATTTTCTGAAACGATCGAAAATTACAATGTTAGATAATATTCTACGTAAATAACATCCCCGACAAACTTACTTCTAAGGCTCCTTCCGTTAACTTGTACATAATTGCAAATTATTTGAATCCGACAATTATATTTCGATATTACGCCTTTCTTCTGTCACGATGGCCGAATACCAGCTTCTGGTCTGAGCTTCCCGCCGAATAATGCAATCACAATCACAAGGCTGCGTTCCGCAACTAGCTACAAAAGATGTCGTTTCCTTAAGGCCTGTTCATATGACACAATCAACCCACAAAATTTTATTTTTAATTTTTATTTTTATAATTTTTATAAATTAAATATTTTTATAATACAAATTTTTATAATATAAATTTATTTTTATAATACAAATTATAATATAAATTTATTTTTATAATATAATGTAAAAGTCCGAGCACAGATTTTTGCAGAACATATACTCACAGTTGCGCACTATGCGCAGTAGCTTAAAAGTATTAGGGATGATCCGACCAATAAAAGCCGTGTTTAAATATAAAATAATATAAAATAAGATTGTAAAAAAAAATATAATATTAATTAATATATTACAATTATATTAATTATATATTATTCCTCTAATCTCATCGAAAAATGTTTTTATTCCGATCAATCAATCGCTTTTGAAACGACCCATTCCATGCAAATCCGGCTGAAGAAAGGGCGCTTTCGCGCCGGAAGTCGCGCGTGCTCCCGAACCGGAAGTCGACTGGGGTCGAGCCGCGAACTATCGCGTGACGCAATCATATCTGGACTGCCTCGTGCCGTAGGATCTCGTCTCGTCGTCGTCGCATCGGTTCTCTTTTCTCGCCTCTTCGACCCTTACGTCAGATTTCACCTGTCAAAATGAACGGCATAGTGAGGAACGCGTTACGTGCTTCGACCCTGCGCAGCGTACTCACGTCGACGACGACGACGACGACGACGTCCTCGTCCGGTGCCGGTCAACCCGCCAGGGCGTTGTGGAACATGTGCGCACGTCGGCAAACCGGCGAAGTCGCGCCGCTCGTCTCCTCGTTCAAGCTCCAGGACTCCCGCAGGTGCTACAGCAGATCCCACACGAAAGGTAACGACTCGCCGATGATGATGTTGAATAAATCTCGCCTTAATCGCAAGGTTAATTTTTGCGGACCTGGTCGTCCATGTTTACCGCGTTGCGAATAAGTTGCAACAAAAATATACATATATAATATAAAATATAAGAGGAACGTTTATATAAATTAAATTAATCATACGAATTTTTTTTTTTTATATTAGAATGAATTCAACAATTGTGGTTATTGAAATGTATTATATATGTATATACTGTTTTTCTTTTTAATTTAAATATTTGGGATATCAACAACTGGTTATTTCTCACAATCAGTTTCTTGCATTATTTTTAGAATTTAAATTTGCATTGCGCATTGCACAATTCAATCATGTCTAACAATAAGTACAATTAAAAAAGTGTACCAATAAATATTTATTTTGTTTGACACAGAAATATCAATATTTAAATTTTAAAAAATATTTAAATTAAAAAGGAAAACAGTATATACATATATGATACATTTTAATAACCACAATTTTGATATTCATATTTTATTAGCGGAGAAAGAATTAGTGGAATTTCTTGCGGAAGAAATAGTAGCCGAGAAGAAGGCACAGAAATTAAAGACAATTCCGACAACACTAGATGGATTCTCAGTATCTCTCAATGGTGCAGAAGTTAATCTGGAAAAGAAAGATGCTAATGATACGTAAGACTTTATTATATATATTTATATATTATATATATTTTTATATATATATATAAAATTGTCAGATTTGCAATATAAACTCATTTGAATTATACCATTTCTTTTCAGAATTCATATTTCCTTCAACGTGAATCATACGGTAGATGCTGACAGTGATGGCGATGTTGATCCTCGTCAGGATGACGTGGAGATAGGTGAAATGAAGAGCAAACCAACATTCACAGTAGATATAATTAGGGGCAACCAAACTCTGGGCTTCACATGTTCCTTTAACAACCAACCTGGTGCATCAGGCGCTGATGATAGCTACAGTATGTACATTCGCTACTAATAACTCTGTTTATTCCAAAGTGTTGAGTACAGGATGACTTTTCTTTAGTCATTTTGATAATTAATCTTTGGAATATAAAGACACTTTCATGTACATATATATCATGATTTGATATTACTGATAAAATCTTGAGAGTGTAACATTTTAATTCATTATATATATATATTTCATAATTACCTTCCTGGTTTTTTAACACTATATACTTCTATAAATATATATTTTATTGCAGATGACATATTTGGCATCGATGAAATCACACTGTACGAGGGAGAACACAGTGAGAGAGTCTACTCTGTGGCTGGTGAGATTCTCGATGGTGTAAGTATTATGAGACCACACCTTAATACTTATAATATCCACTCTTTAATACTTATAATTTAAATAATCCTTATTAATAATTAAGTGTATTGATAATTAATCTGATATAAAACAAATATTCAATATTGAAAATCAAGTTAAATACAAAATATATGATGATTACTTAACTACTGTGAGGAATTATTAATCGGTGCGCGAGTCAGGAATTAAAATAAAGAGAGGCGTTAATTACATATACATATCATGATTTCTCATTATGAATTATGTGTCCAAATAACGATATGACATGCTTTATCTTCAATTTCTTCAATTGCTGTTAATATTTTTTATTAATTAGTCTTAAATTTTAACATTTCTATAACTATATTTATAATTATATGTATTCAGTTTTTTATGAATATAACAAATAAAATATTACACTGTTTATTTTGCAGTATCTGTACGATCTACTGATGAACTATCTCGAAGAGAAAGGCATCTCGAACGAGTTTGCGGATAAGCTTATCGATTTAAGTACATCCTATGAACATACAGCGTATGTCAGCTTGCTGGAAGGCCTGTCAAAGTTCACATCGGGAAAGTAATTCTAGGACATTATTGTTAAGACATTTCTTGCGTTTTCTGATATCATAGTTGTATCATTAAGAATTGTTAATAAACAAATGTATGATTAATTTTCGAAATTATTCAAAAGAAATAGAAAAATCCATTAAAACACATGCCAATGTAATCTTTATTTTTTTATGCAAAGAACAACATTTTCTTTTGTATAAATTAAGAAACAATATTATAAAATAGTAGTTAGAAATGTATATCTCATAGACTCAACTTCCATTCTCATTTTAAATGTGCAAAATAAAAATTCACAGTTTAGAACATGTATAAGACTGCTCCTTGTTTTAACATCACAAAATAAATTATTAATATATATATATATATTTTTTTTTTATAATTTCTTAAAAGACAAAAGAGGGAGGAAACGGCCCTATTTTTTCAAAAGTTTCAAAAAATACACAATAGAGTAAACGAGAGAAGAGGAGAAGAAAAAGAGGGGTCATCTATTCCAGGATTCGCCGACGACGCGAATCGCAGCGAGGCGGAAAGATGATTCAAGATGGAGGCGATCAGACGCAATTGGGTGAAGGCAAAAGCTCGCGGAGGCGGCGAGCAAGCGACGACGACGTAGTAGAAGAGGAAGAGGCTGGCAGAGTGGTCCCGAATGCCTGTCCATCGCGATCCTCGTTCTCGTCATCCCGGGAGACCTGGCGAGAATGTCGTGTCGCGACCCCGACAACCTGATGGCAAGCCCCAGCGACGACGAGGGCTTCGACTACCTCTTCAAGATCGTCCTGATCGGCGACTGCGGCACGGGCAAGACCTGCGTGGTCCAGCGCTTCAAGTCCGGCACCTTCGTCGAACGGCATGGCAACACCATCGGGGTGGACTTCATCATGAAGACCGTCCTTATAGACGGCAAGAGGATCAAGGTGCCAGCGTTCAACCTTCGCGCCAATTTAACCTCGAGTCCTGGTCTACAAAGGGTGATTTCTAAGCCTCAAATTCTAACTTGGGAGTTGATCAACTCGCTTAGGATTCAGAGATTAGAGCTTAGTGTCATAAAACTTAGGGCTTAAATCATCTGAAATCATCCTTTCTAGACTAGGACTTACAATTAGTCATATCCTTGGATACAATCTGGATGATTAGCCTCAGCCTCAGTTGATATCTTTGCTTAAATTCGCAGATGTAGTTTATTGGCAACTTTTTGGCGGGAAAATGTTTTTGGCGACTTAATGTCTTGTTTTTTGTTTATTGTTTTGATTTGAATAAGAGTTAGAGAAATGTTTTTCAATTATATAAATGCAAGTGTCAAATTGTTTATGGGTTCTTTTAGACAAATCGCTGTTTTATCTGAGACTTAATTAAATTCTTACCTTACTAATATATTTCTTCAAAAGTGTTAAAGAAACTCATCTCTTGCAATGAAAGATTTTGTAACTAATATCTCAATATCTTATTTTTGTTTACTGTTTTGATTTGAATGAAAGAAAAAAACGTTTTTGAATTATATAAATGCAAGTGTCGAATTGTTCATGGGTTCTTTTAAGTAAACCGTTGTTTTTATTTGAGACTCTTAATTAAATTCTCAGCTTACTAATATATTTCTTTCAAAATGTTAAAGAAACTCATCTCTTGCAATGAAATATCTTGTAACTAATATCATTGAAACATGATACACTCTTATCTATAGATAAAACAATCTCAATATGACTGTTCATATTTACTTGAATTTGATGATGATTATTGAAGTTTGACCTTTTATTATTGACAGTTACAAATTTGGGATACTGCGGGACAAGAAAGATTCCGAACGATAACTCAAAGTTATTATAGATGTGCAAATGGAGTAATTGTAGGTATGTAAACAGATTGTAATGCATAGCCACACAAAAACATAATTTTCTGATTTATATGTATTATTAATCTTCATAAAAAATCAATTTATACAATTTAATAATTATTTCAATAAGTAATTTATAAGAACTTATATATATCTTTTTAATTTTATATATTTTTGTTGGCTTTTTGAGATAAAATTAAGAAAACAGATTTTTTCTCTCTTACTATTGAAAAATAAATGGCATCTTTCTAAAAGTGTTTTGTTGAACATTGTAGTTTACGATATTACAAAGCGATCAACATTTTTAAGTTTACAACGTTGGGTGGAAGAAGTCCGGAGGTATTCGTCATCGCATGTACTATTAGTATTAGTTGGTATGATCATTTTTACATGCATTACAACAATCATCATACTGTAACATCTCTATTACCATTTAATCTTTATCATTTCTCATTTTGCAGGAAATAAATGTGACTTGGAAAATCTGCGTGAAGTGGAAAAAGCAGAAGCTGAAGCTTTATGCGAATATCTGCCTGAAGTTTTGCACGTAGTGGAGACCTCAGCCAAAGATAACACAAATATAGACTCCATCTTTTTCTATCTGGCATCCGAACTTAAGGTAAATCTACCTTTTAGTATATTATGATTTTGTTACAAATTAAATGTATTATTTTATTTTACTTATTTCTGGATGAATTACACATTTTAGAGACGACACGATAATCGTCAGATTAGCGCGAGCGAGAACGATGCAGTGAAACTCGGTGCCGGACGAGAGTTGTCTTCTTGTAAAGGCTGTAAAATCTTTTGAACCGTTCATATATTTTTTTTTCCATCGTTGCGCACTGTTTCTGAACGACCGAGATATGAAAGAACACACGCGCGTTCTGATAAGATGAAAGGCAGTCGAACGAATGTAATATCTGTTGTAATATGTTAATACGTTTTGTACAATGTAAATTTTTTACACAAGTTTACTGTTTCTAACATCAAATTAGTAATCAGAGTATAAATATACAAAACAGTTATTTGCACATAAAAATATTGTATAAACTTTTTATAAAAATTTTACTGCCTTTTATCTTATTATAACTGTAGCACAAATTAATAGAGAAACTAGAACAATCAATGTCATTCTATCGATATAGATAAAACAAGTTTATATAGATATATATGCCAAATATTTAAAAGATATTTCCTTTTATTTACACGAAATAGAACAGACATTGGCTCTTCTACTCCTAAAAGATACGAATCTCACGATAAAAAAGATATAATTCTTAAAATAAGATGGTTAATTTCTTGCTATAGAAGTTCGTTGTTTTAGAAAAAGCACGTTTATATATTTTTATATTCAACACAGGTACAAATTTATATACACGCTCATACATATTGATACTTCACGAATACTGCGGCGACCTGAAGAAATTCTAGATATCCTTGTGCCTTAAAATATTCGTAGTGAATACACATTTTTGTATTATGAGCGCACAGACATATTCAAAGTGCAATCGAGATTTAAATTGCGAATGGTAACTTAATTCTTTCTTGTTCTTTATTTATTTTATTTATTTGCGTGAATGTGCGTTATGACGAATGCAAAGATTTAACTTCTTGTTCTTTGAAACAAGAAGTTCAAATTAAGATTGTAAATATTAATCCTTAGTCGCATTCTTAGCTCGTATCTCACGCTAGAGTTAGTTTAAACTTTCAATTTACATGAATGCACTTATTAGCTCTAAAAAAAAGTTATGAAAATGCAAATAAAACGCGTTTTGTGACTAAGCGGACACAATTATATTACATTTATAGACGAGCAAATATTACGAATCTCTCTATGTAGCAATACTTTACAGAAATTATTGTAATATATATTTTTAAAACACATTGCACATAAACGTATGTGCGTATTGTAATACTCTTTGCAAATCGGAATTATTATTTTATATATGAAAGTAATATCAATATACGTAATTCAGGAGGACGAATCTTCATTACCTTGCACGTAAATAGGTACTGTCAAAAATGTACGAAAGTTGTCTTCATAATTTAAGATTTTTGTATAAATTTACATAAATATATCATCTTTTTAACAAAAATATCTGTCCAATTCACAACAACACAAAGCAATACATATCCTTCCATTGCTGTTAATTACATAAAATTATCATTTGAATTATATGCGAGAAAAAAATTGTGTAAGATGCAAATTCATATCACAATTTAATATTTTAATTCTGTGCTGAAATAATATATAAAGTAATGGTGTAAAAAGAACTGGCATGTGAAATAATTAAAACTCTATTATATTTTATATATATATAGTACAACTGGAAAGTATTTTTTACTAAAAAATACACATGGGTATGCAGTATAACAGCTTTGTTGATTTTCATGGCGAACTTTATTATATTGATACATTTAAAACATAGTGTATCATACTGTCCAAGTTCTATAATTCGTAATAAATAAAGCTTGTTTTGTACTTATAGCAAATCTAGTAGAAACTTGATCGCTGTCAATTAATCGATTGATTTCAGCTTTCTCATACATTAATAATAAACAATACGCGATTGATTTCACAAAATTATTTATATTATTTTACACATAAATTATTTCTCGACAAATTGCATATTAAAAAGATGTTTATCACAATGAACAGCGATTCTAATTGTCGATTTCTATGAGATTATATTTTTTGAGCAAAAAGTATATTTATTTTTTATTGTTATTTATTTGCATACTATTGACTCTCGTCCCGGAGTCTCAATTCCTTTGTTGCATTCAGGGTAAATATCAATATAATTATCACTCGGCTGATATGAAAATGTAAATTAATAATTTAGAAAATTTTATTTTAGCGTAAACGAACATGCTATATGTGACTAGCATATACGTATATATAAATATAACATTGTTGTAAGGTCATATATCATAATTTATAAATGTAATTGTAAGGCCATATATACATGCGTTGTGTAAACATTCTCAGATATATATATCTATAGAATACTAACTGATTATTTGGCTTTATCATGTTAAGATAACATTTCGTTGCAGATTTAACAGGCGTATAAAATAACAAAGTAAAACGAGGTAGAGAAGACATAATTCTGCCCGACATATTCGCGTATAGATACTTAAAAAAATTGCATATAAAAAAATAAACATATATGTAAATCGGAGAAAATTAATCGTCCTTTAAAGAATTATAATATATATATATATGTGTGTGTGTGTAATTTTATTATATTATTTATTCTAATATATTATAATTTATTATATATATTGCAATAATATATCATTTAAATAAATTAAATTGCATTAAATCAGCCTGCTTTATACTGTAGTAAATTTATCAGCCTGGAATCTTAAATGTCAAAATGTCAGTATGTCCAAGATGAAATGACATGTCTATCAACTTATACATTCCTTAAACGGGCTGAAAATAGCATACAAGCAGACAAATGTATCAAAAATTTCTCGAATCTATTTTTTTATATCTCTTGTATATAAGAGCAGTCTGTATAAGGCACTTTTTGCGTAATGCTGCTTCTTACGTCAATGCAAATATGTCATTGATTATACAAAAAAAAATGCATCTATTTAAATATTAACAAACTACTTACAACATGAATAAGGCGAATTATAGATTATATTTGAAAGCATTCGCGTAATTGACGATGTAAGGAACGATTGACGTTGCGTTAAAAGTTACACTGCGTAAATTAGAGCGAACAAGAAATGCGCGGATATAATTTTGTTTGTTAAAATATTGTCAATTTAAATTATATAAAGGAGAGCGCCTTCTAAGAGATTCCTCGTACCAACACGCTTTGTATCTACGTGAGATAAACATATATGATAGATATATAAACAAGCTCTGTTTTAATTATACTTAAAAATATTACATGATCGATGCTATTTTATCATTATCATAGGTCGCTATATCGATCGAGAGATGGGGGATGGAAATATGTAAAAAGTCAAAATATAGGTCAAAGATGTGTGTTAAATCTTTTTTCATCGTAAACATGCAAAAAGGGCTCTGCCCCCCCCAAGGTCGGCGCCACTGATATCAGGAAGACTCGGGCTGGATGAATTTTTTGATACGTTTTTCATCCAGCAATCCAGCAAACACCGATATATAATTGTTACATTGTTATAATAAAACGGAATATAACAGGTAATATAACGTGTACGTTACATGTAACATCCATGTTAGTTGTAATTTTCCATAGATGTAACTATTTAATATAACATATATTACATTGTAGTTATATTGTAATTATATACCAAATAGCACATTGATGTATTGATAAGTCAGTGCTATCTTGGGATATAATTACAATATAACTACAATGTAATATATGTTATATTAAAATGTTACATCTATGAGTAAGAAATTACAACTAACATGGATGTTACATGTAACGTACACGTTATATTACCTGTTATATTCCGTTTTATTGTAGCAATGTAATTATATATCGGTGTTTGCTGGGAAGGCTCCTGGCTCGTCACAATCCAACATGACCGCGAAGAGGATCCAGGAGCCTATATGATTACAATCGCTGTTACTTAGAATATCAATTAGAACTTGTAGAATGAAGCAAACCCTGCCCTTTTATTTTTACACATACTTCGATACTCTCGGGAAGAAAAATTGACTATAAATAATCCCTAAACCTTGAAGCCTAACACGCCGCTCTCATACTCTCTTATAAGTCCTCCTGTACTTCTCGTCGATCTGGACCAGGTAATACGTTCCCGGAAACAGGTCGTCTATACTGCTCTCCGGGGTGAATGGCACAACGTGACAGTTCTCTTCCCTCAACGTCAACACCCTGGTGTAGTCCGCCGGGGAGACGCAGTGACGTCCCTCGAGCTGCGGCTTGACGTACGAGAGAGCGGCGATGATCTTGGACAGACCGGAACCGTCCTGAGTGTCCCTCGTGACCGTTAACGAGTACATGCTGGAACAGAGGCCCGAGCCGTAAGAGAACACGCCGATCTTGTTCCCGGCCAGTTCGCCGATCGGCTTCGAGATGAGGAGAGAGACCAGTCCGGAGTAAACGGACGGGGTGTACATATTCCCGACTTGGTTCGCTATCAATAAACTGGGTCGGGTCTTCCGCTCGAAGTCCGCCTTGCTCAGCTGCATGAACGCCTTCTCGATGTCCCGGTCGAAGTAGGTGTCCTCGAGTTTGGCCGCGTGGAACCTCGCCGCGTCCTTGTAACGCTCCTCGAGGGCCTGATCCTTCGGAGCGTTGAGAAAGTCGACGAAGGCCAGTCGGCTGAAGGACTTTTGCACCAGTTTGCAGTAAGGCGAGTGGAAGAGGAAGGCGTCGAAGCTGGCCAATGTCACCGGCTGCTTGTCGCCGCCCTTCTTCTGGACCTTGTCGCAGTACACTTGGTAACAGCTGTCCAGGGCGCTCAGGTAGCACTTGATCGACAGCTTGCCGTCGACGACCGGGTACAGAGAGCGCAGGTCCGGCTTGTAGAAGTCGTAGGCGTGTCGCATGCAGGACGCCCGGAGGCCGCGGTCGAACACCAGAGGAGCTTCCGGACCCACCAGGATGGCGATGGCACCCGCGCCTCCGGTTGGTCTGGCGCTGCCCTCCGCGTAGACGGCGCTGTCAGCCGCCACGACCAGAGCGAATCTCCCGTCCCAGGAGCTGCTCTCCACCCAGGAGACGGCGTTGAAGAGAGCGGCAGTGCCGCCGTAGCAGGCGTTCGTCGTGTCCGCGCCCTCGATGTCGGTGCAGCCGTACGGCTCGAACAGCTGCATCAGCACGGACTTGACCGACTTGCTCTTGTCGATGATGGTCTCGGTGCCTACCTCGAGTCGCCCGATCTCCCGGGGCTCGATGCCGTGCCGCTCCAGGAGACGCTGCGTCACCGTCAGGCACAGCGAGTTGATGTCCTCGCGGTCGTTGCAGAAGCCCATCCGCGACTGACCGAGTCCGATGGTGTACTTGCCCGCGGAGACGCCGTCGAACGCCTCCAGATCCGTCTGCTCCACGTACTGCGCCGGAAAGTACACCTCCAGCGCCCGGATGCCGACGTCCTTCGGCCACATCTTTCTTTTTTTTTTTTTTTTTTTTTTTGAATTAACGACGCTTTTCTCTCTCTCGCAGAGGAAGGTTTATGTAATCACCTGGAAAGGAGGAAGCGAGTGAATACCGAAATGACGAGCTCGCGGAGAAATTCCAGGAGGATATCCGGAGCGAGACGTCTTCCAATCACGTATATGTATGTATACAACACAGTACCTCGGGGCAACGTCTACCGGGCCACGGAGTCGCGGCTGGTGTGAGAAGAGACGGACGTATGTACACACATGTACACTGTACACACTGTCAAGTTCGCGCGCGCGCGCGCTCGGATACCGTCGTATTCAGGTTAGAAGTGAAACTCGGCGGCTCTCGGTGAAAATTCCGGTCGTTCGCCGCCGTCGAGCGACTTTCGATTGCGTGCTTTGAAGCTCCGGGCTCTTCCCGTTCCGTTAAGTCGGCCGCTCGGTCAGCAGGGCTGTCGGCTCGGCTCGTCGCGAGGGTCCGATCACGTGGGTTCTCGCGGCGCGTCACGTGTCAACATGCGCGGCCGAGCTCTCGCGGGCGAATGCGCTCCCGTCGCGGCGCGCTGCGTCTTATATTATTCTATTGTCAGCCGCTTATTGGCGGCAAGAGCTGAGTGAGTCCGAACGCGCTTGGAATCGATAAAAATATCCTTCTGAATAAACACTAGTATTCTTTTCCATTTTTAATAATGCATAAATGTTTTATAATATATAATATAAATTTTTGTAATATATATAATATAGAATATACATATAATAATAATAATAATATATATAATAAATAATAATGTATGATATAAAATAATATATAAGATAAAAAATAATATAATATATAATATAAAAAAATGATAATAAAAGAATTAAATTAAAAAAAAAAAAAAAAATTTTAATCATGCCCCCTGGAAAAATCTTGTGGACGCCTATGGATGGGAAGGGATGAAGAGAGGAAACTGCGAAGGAAGGGCAAGGTTCGCGACCGAGACGGCGAATATCTTCGCGAATTATACGTGCCGGATAATGCGTCGTCGTGTTTTTGCATGACAGTTCGCGCTGACGTTTCTCAGTCGAAACTCATTGGGAATAAGTGGGACACGGGTATTACAATAGACGACGATGATGCGCCGAGATTCGCTCGGCTTGAATTGAACGGACGACGTATACATGTATAATGTAATGCATGAGGATATCTCTTCGACACTGACTCTTCGACATGACTGATTAGACTGGATCAACAGGTCATTGGGTCGTGATGAATAACGTGCAACGCACGCGGCTGTTTTCCTGTAGCAGACATTCCAAGTTACGAGACCGGAAGCGATAAAAAAAATTGTGTAAACATTTTTTTCCTCGTCGAATATTTCTATAGAGAATTATTCTTTTCTTTTTTTTTTTTTTGTATACCATTGATAATGCGAACTGATAAAATGTACCGAAACTTGTCGGTATTCATAGTCGAGTCTTTTATTCAAGACTACCTTGTTTATCTGAAGATAAAGTCGGGTCTTTTATTCAAGACTACCTTTCCTATCTTCAGATAAACAAGGTAGTCTTGAATAAAAGACCACTATGTACTCCGTAGTCAATGAAATCCATACAGCATCTGAAGATGAACTCAAGATGATCCTAAAAATTTTGGCTCGACTATGAATACCGGCTTCAATATGAAAATTTTTTGATACGATACCAAGAAATTTAATAAATCAATTTGAGATTTATTTCTCGCTTACGCTTCTTTAAGAGGAATAGAGGGCTTGATTGAAACCTCGAATTGAGGTTTATTTAATTTCTTAATATTTACCAAGAAATATTTATGTTCTATGCATGATAAAATTCCAAAGAAAATTAATTCTTCCTTGAGAGGAAGAAATTGATTCTTATTCCTTCTAGGAAAGAATTAATTTTATTGCTGTTGAATTCGAATATGATTTTCTCCTTCTCTCAATTATATTTTCAAAGAATAATTCTTACGATAATAAATCCAAATTTATCTATTAATCCATAAATCGAATTGCTAATTCTATTTCTTTTTTCAATATATTGATATGTCATAAAATAATAAATAATATTAAATTAATAGACAAGAACTTCCCTTCGAGAAAAAAAAACACGACATTGTGACAAGATAAAAATGATCTTTAATAATAAATTTCTCCGATGAATACAACTTTTTTCTACAAGAAAGAAATCTGGTTCGTGTAAAACGAAAATGTTTGATGTACGCTTGACTTATTCCTTCCAGTATAACAACTAATTTATTTTACAACAAGTCTGTACCGCAAGAATAAAGATTACAAGTTGCAAATAAAATTAAAACGTTAACTTTTATTGGTCGTCTTTAGAGACAAAATAACTCAATTATCGCTCAGATATTTTTTCCTCCGGTTTACAGAAAAAATCTCACAATTTGAGAGAAAGAAAATTCGTCGAGTGCGTAGAAAAATATTTCTTCGATTTCTTTCGTAAAAGTTACATAACATATCTCAGAGCAAAGTGGCACAGTGGGTAATAATCTCTTTCGCGGAGAAACGCGTGTCCCTCTTCCTTTTGGAAGCCGATTTCCGAGGTTCAAAACGTAAAAAAAAATACACACATTCGGATAGGATAATTTCGGCTTTTTTACGCATTTTTTAAAAATAGAGTTTTTAATTAGATCGATAACACAAAATGCATTTTCAAACTCGCGTTTTTTTGCTGCTGCAGTTGGATTTGCATTCGCGCATGTTTAGTCGACGGCGACAAAAAGCGAGAAATATGCGCATATATGAATGTATATATATATATGAAAATAAAATCTCTATATGAACAATATAATCCTTCATATACATTGTCATTGGAATAGCAAATTCGACCGGCTTTTGCAACACAGCGGAAGTGCATGCAAAAGAAATATGCATCGTTCGATGATATTGACTTGAAAATTAGGTGTTTGTCTAACTTATCTATGCGAATCAAAATTCTAAAAAGCTCCTATTGCGAAATTATCAGCGAAAATCTGCAAGGTGAATATATATTATATTTTAGAATTTTTAAAATGAGTTAAAAATGGAACGTCGATTAAAGAAGATTAAACAAGCTCCGATAAAAGGCGAATAAAGATTGCGACTTAAATGAAAGGAAAAAAACTTGTCTACGTCAGGGTTCGATACAGTTTGTCTAAGGATTAAAAAAAAATAAAAATAAAAAACTACAAAGTAGCAAGTTTATCGATGTTCTAATCTAATATTAAAGAGATTGGCGTGTAATTGAAAATCGAGGACATACCAATCATTATTAATATGAAAAAAATTGTAGCTATGTATTAGCTTTCTACCAGACATTAAAAACCTAGAAGTGAAGGGGATTCTACGACGGAATTTTACGTATTACACGTAGATAATATTAACGTAGGGACTTATCATATATAAATATTTTTGCAAGTTGTACATATATATTATTATTCACCTTGAGGAAATAAGATAACAGAAATAATTATCGTTATCGAACAACTTCATTTTCGACTGCAAAACGCAAAAATTAAAATTTTAGATATATTTCAGTAATAAAATTATACACAATATATATAGATATACATCTGTATATTTAAGTTATATTTAGTAATAATTATTAATAAGCAAATGAGAGACAAAGTCAAAATTAATATGTATGATTGTAAAATTCATATCGTAATATTGTAAAAATATAAATCAGTAACTTAAATTTATTGAAATTATATATATTTTTATTAATAATTTTATCGCAGTCCAGAAATAGAGCGATATCATTTTTGATTGTACACATTTTTCAATTTAATTCATTTTATATATTAGAATTTTTAGAAAGATCAGAAAACGATGAAAAATTTCAAAATTTGTTTTCTCTGTCGTTAAACTATGAATATTTTCAAGTTAGTTTCAAGATTTTCTTCAAGCCTCGATTATCAAGATCTATAAAACAAAATATAAAAAAAAATTAAAACTGAAATTTTCATCAAACGAAATTACGAAAATAAGTACATGTGCGAGGAATATTTAAAAACATACTAAATTTTATTTATTTATTTTTGTCTCTCTCTCTCGAGTGAATAAAGTCGAAGTCGAGAAAGGAATGGTAAATAAGTACGCAGGCAAAAATTTCGTGGCCAGGGCCACGCATATATGCGTGCATATATACGTATATACTTGTATCCATGTGTTCCGAGAGTGGTATGTAAATAAATATTGAATACCTCAAACGGACGGCTTTCCACTTTCCGTTATACACGTTCCTTATTCTCAGCGCGGCTTCCGTCAAAAGCGCATGTTGAGAAATAAGTAAAAGCAGGCCGGAAGAAGAAATTCCTAGAATACATTCCTCCTTCGATGACGCGAGTTATACAAGTCTCTTGGACTCTCGCTATCGATAAAAAAATTGCTATTTTGTATAATTTCTATCGGTATCTTGTCATACTTGAACGTTTAATCTTATCATCTGAAACGTCATAAGTATAACAAATATTATGTATAATTATTTGGCATTTAAATTATTTAACCTGCTACTTCAGTTCTACGTCACTTTTATGCACACATTATTATTATTTATTATTACACACAAGTATTATTAATTTTATTAATAAAATTACGTATTTATATATTTAATAGTAAAATTATCAATATGTACATCTTTTATCTTCTTATTTATTGCACCTAATTATTATTCATTTTATTAATAAAAATTACGTATTTATATATTTAATAGCAAAATTATTAATATGTACATCTTTTCCAAACTATTTGCATACTTAATGCAAATCTTATTTTAATATATACACGTTTAAAAATATATTTAATATAATTTAAAAGTATAACAAAATATAAAATATAATTAATATAACAAAATATAATTTAAATAATTAAAGCGCTAGAAATTTTTCGCCAAAGATTAAATGACAAAAAATAATTCGCATATAGAAACCGATGTATTTTTTATTAGACGCGCATAAAATTGATTCGCTGAATGAAAGGCGCAGAGTTCAAACCATATCGGACTTTGTTCGCAGTGACACTAACAAACACATTTGACATATGTGATGAAATATATACTTACAATTGTTCGAGATCCTTATCTTGCGTCTTATCGCGTGTCCTCTTCAATTGCCCGGGTAGTCCAAAGTCGTCGTCGATCGATTAATTTATCGTCGCGAGGAATCAAGGAACGTAAGATCGAAACAGATCACGTGGAGAACCATCCGGTGCTTTTCGTTATGGTTTTATATATAATTTACTGGATACATACTCTCTCTAAAGTGTTCGTCGCGATACAGTAGTGAATCATTATTATTACATCTACAATTAGAGCGGCGGCAGCTTTCGTTTTCGTCTGGCACGGCAAAATATATAATTTGTTTTGTTTATCTACTCCTCGCCAGCCTCTCTTTCTTTCTTTCTTTCTCTCACTCACTCACTCACTCTATCAATTTTCCTTCATCTTTCATTCCCGGACTAACTAACGTAATCACATCGATTATCGCGTACAAAGTATAGTCATTTTACAATAATCCTACGAGTAAACCGTATTACAAGCATCGTTCATTTTAAGAAATAC